AACAAACTAATTTTATACAAGTTTAACAATATAACAAGAGTTTACAAACTTTTTTATTGGTTATTTCATTTAATAACATTTATATAACCTTATTATTTAATACTAAACATTTTCAATGAAAAGGTGTCGGCTACATTTTGAGGATCCCGCATATTACATTTCATATGACCCTGGTTAAAAAGTTGAATTCACAAATCAAAGCCTATTTGCCAATAAACTATTTTGATAGTTTCCACGTTGTGATTAATGATAATCCGTAAAATTTATAATAATGACACACAGACAAATCAGATATTCGGATTTATTCCATCATTTCGGAAATAAATTCTAAAAATCCGAAATATTTCGGAACTAAAAATTGGATTTCGCCCACAGCATTATCGAAGATTATATTAGTCAAGACTACTTCATCTGCGAGATTCAGTAAAAATACTCCAACCAACTTGATCAAGAAGCATATAACAATATCAACTTATTGATAAAAAACCAAAAGAATAGTAAGAAATCTATTTAATGTTCAATTCTATGGAAATATATATGAAAATAATTATTTTATGAATCTGAATTGATCCGTCAAGGCATCAGGATAATTTCTAGAGCAAACTATTACAAAAAACATGTTGGAATAAAAAAAACCTCCAAATGATTTATTCTTAAAATTGATAAATAAAAATTAAATAATTAAAAATCCGGTTTCTATTTGGAATTTGGCGTCTAGGTGATCTGCACCGCAATGCTTACACACGTGCTATTTATTACCCAATCATTTCTATTAAAATAGCCATAAACCTTATTTTATTTTGGCGTTTTTTTTTGTGATTTTAATTTCCAAAAAAAAAAAAAAATGCATATTTATTTGTTGTTATTATTGTTGGCAAGTAAATTAGCTGATTAGATATTGTTTAATTACAAATAACAAATATCACAGCTTTCACTCGAAAAAAAATTTTTTTCTTTCACTTTATGAAAAAAATAATAAAAAAATGGAAAAAGGAATTTTTTTCAAAGTTTTAATTTTGAATGTGATATTGCAAATTTCTATAGCTTCAATTTGTAAACTCTTTAATTATGATAATATTGATGAATTATGGGATTTGACAATTATTCATACAAATGACGTTCACTCCAGATACGAACAGATAAATGATGCTTCAACTGATTGTACTAAAGAGCAAGAAATGAAACTCAAATGTTATGGAGGAATTGCAAGGCAGAAAACTGTCATTGATAATCTAAGGAAGCAAAATAAAAACAGTTTATTATTAGATGGTGGTGATCAATTCCAAGGTAATCTATTTTATTTATTTTTGCAGCTAATATTTTAATTAACTAACTGACTGACTGATTGATTGATTGATTGATTTTGGTTATTAATTTTTTCTAGGGAATTTATTCTTTACTTATTATGATGTAAGTGTTACAAAAAAAGTTATCAATGTATAAAATACCAAATTAATTAATTAATCAACGATTATTAAATATTTTAGGGACTCGTTAATTCAAAAGCCATGGTAAGATAATTCAAGTTTATTCCGATTTTTATTTTAATGCGTATTTTCATTAATTAAAATCTTGGAACAAAAATAATTTTTATTCAAATAATTTTCAGAATTTACTTGGATACAATGTTACAGTAAGTGCTTTATCTTTTTTATTTATCAATTTAATTAATTAATTAAATCAATCGATTCATTCATCTCATATTATTATGGCTTCATAAATTTTTTCAGGGAATTGGTAATCATGAATTTGACAGAGGACCAAAAATTCTTGCAGAACATCACTCCAGATTAAACTTTCCAGTTGTTTGTTCTAATGTTAACGCAACATTAAATCCAAATTTTGCTAAAAATATTAAACCATATCATATTTTTGAAGAATACAATCTGGCTGTTATAGGCTATATAACTGACACGGCTGGTGGTATTTCTAATTCAGGTTCAACTTTGGAATTTTATAATCCAATTCCAATCGTACAGCATTATGTTGACGAGCTGAGATCAAAAGGAATTAAACGAATTTTGACAGTGTCACACAATGGCTATGTTCCTGATAAAGAATTAGCTGCAAAAACTCATGGCGTTGCAGTACATATTGGTGGTCATAGTCACACATTATTATTAAATGACACAACATCGAAAGATTATGCCTATGCGCAAGGCCCATATCCAACCTTAATTAAGAATGCCAAAGGTGAAGATACATTGGTTGTTCAAGCATATTGGTCTGGTAAATACATGGGACATCTCGATGTTTCATTGGATAAAGAAGGTAGAGTAAAAAGTTATTCAGGTGCTCCAATTCTGCTCAATCAATCAATACCTCAAGATCCCAATCTCGACAAGTTGGTAAAGGAATGGAAGCTACCATTTGAAAATTATACCAAAACTGTGATTGGCCGAGCTGAAAGTGCTTTTGATCAAAAAGCTTGTCAATTGAAAGAATGTGAGATGGGAAATTTGTTGACTGATTCTATGCTTTGGGCCAGAAAAGATGTTCCGTTTGCCTTTGTTAACTCTGGTAGTATCAGATCAGGTCTATCAAAAGGTAATATAACAATAGAATATGTTAAAACCATTTTACCATTTGGTAATTCATTGGTTGAAATTGATGTCACTGGTCAAAATATAACTGATATGTTGGAAAGCGCTGCCAGCAGACTTCGAAATATAATAAGCAATAAACCAGTGACAAGTTTCATACAAGTTAGTGGACTTAAATTTAAATACGATTCCTCCAAGAAAGTTTATGAAAGAATTTTGGAGGTAAAAATCAGAAATCCAAACAACAATGATAATTATGAAGATTTGGATTTAAATAAAACTTATAAAGCTCTGACACTTGACTTTATAGCTAATACAGGAGATGGGTAATTACGCATTTATGTATTTTTCGTCTATAGATATTTATATGACACACAATACTTGACCATGCAATGCACTGATTGCTTATTAATATTGACATCATTTACTTTTGGTTTTTTTTTGCAGATTGCTTCCTTACCCAACTAAAACAATTGAACTCGAAGCCATTGATTCTACATTGCAAAATTATATATCAAAATCAAAAGTAATTAAACCATTCATCGAAGATCGTATAATAGATGTAGCTCAAAAGCTTCAATTAGTTGAAAATCAATTATCAATTCACGAACCAATTCATTTCGGATACACAAAATACTCTCCACAAGAAGCAAATCAACAATAGGAAAGAGTGTTTGAAGATGATGATGAAAAATCGATCTTCTAATGTCATATTTAAATTATTTACATCTAATTGTGCTGATTGTACTTGATGATTAATTAAATGTAAATATAAATCAAATGTAATTTATATCAAATAACCAGTTGTATTTCTTATATATAAAATATGATTTTCAATTTTGTAACCATATCACGGTAACGTTTTATCTGATCACTTTCTCGAGGTCTCAACAATCTATCCTCTACTTGTAGTGAGACATTGCTTAATTGCACTCCAAAAAAATACAAGCTATTATTCCAAATTTACATTGGTTACATAATAATGCGCTACAAAAGTTAATAAATAGAAAAAAAATACTCATACAATGATTCTAACAATAATTCCCAAATAGATTTTATTTTAAAGCCTTTCTTTATAAGTTTGAATTGAAGCCAATTTAACGTCAAATTTCGGTGGGTATCATGAAAATCAAAATAAAATAAAAGACACCACATTATATCAACACGTATTCTTTAGGAGACTCATGTTTTGCCTTCTTTGAAAAATAAAATAATAGCGTAAACAAAAAATTTATTATTATTATTAAAATCTCTTTTTTTAAAAAAAAAGTCTTTCAAAAAAAAAGAAATCAAGAAAAAGAATTGGTTGAAAGAAGTTAAGTGTTTATTAAAAAAGGATGGTATTTATTGCCACTCGTCGTCACTCTAGTTCTATTAAAAAGAATGCTGGTGATGGTTGCAATCCTCGTGAAAATAGCATATGCGAGGTAAACATTCATTGTTATTACAAGCATTTGTAACTAAGCATATTGTATGCTCACTACTCTCATCAATTATCCCAAACTTGCTCCCTTCTCTGGGGAAAACTTTTTTCCTGCCTTCCGTAACTACCAAAAGTCTATATTGAAAAGTCGACGCGCTATCACGTGAGCTCTAAAATAATTATTTTTATTTCTTAATAATTGATATATTTATTTACTCATTTGCCATGATTCAGCCCTGGATATTGGGGTATCTTAGACCTCACCAGAGAAAGTTTATTGAAACTAAAAGAAAAATTTGAAAAGATATGGATTTATTATCACAAGACTTTTTAAAATAATTGAGATTGACCAAAAAAAACTACCTTTGCAATATGTGATTCACATCAAAATACTATTGAGTTAGTAATCGGTCCCAAAAGACCAGTCTTTGGTACCGAGACTGGACCAAAACAACCTTGGTACTAGTCACAACAATAGAGTTTTTTTTCCTAGCCCTGATATTCTACCATGCTGTAGAACTTTACACGATACCTAATGTAATCGGTTTGACACCAAGATATAAAGTCCATTGATTAGAACTCGAGATAAAATTACGTAGTAGGGAAAATTTTTACCCATTTTTATCCATTTTCAAAAAAGTGACACTATTAAATACAGAAACATCATCATCAAAAGACATTTTCATTAAATAATAAATAGAACCAGATGTTCTGACAATATGGCTTTTAAAATGGGCACAGAATGGCAAATATAATTTCTATAATGATTCTGGAAGACAAGAATATTTCTATCAGGTACGTGCTTTCTTTTCAAAAAAAATTCTGCAATCATATATGTCATCCATTTATCCATAATAATAATAAATTATGCAAACTACATACGATTTATATACGTTTTTCTTTACATGCATATCAATACTATAAACACAACATAATGTGGGAAAAGTTAAAGAAATATGGAGCGTTCTCACAAATTAGTCTGATTAAGGTTATTTGATTAAATTTATCCCTACAAGATAATTTTATTTGTGTGGCATTAATAAATCTACCTGTTTGGAAGAAAAGAAAAAAGTCTATCATTGTAATTTATGTAAATATTAAAAACAATTTTGGGAAAAAAAATTGGCCCGGAAGATTTATTTTCAAGCATTTATTAATTATTCTCACTGGTAATTTATTATTATTGTCCAATGGAAATCTATAGATAGATAGATGTGAGATTTAAAACCCTAAACATTTCCCCAATTCCCATATTGGTTTTTTTATTGAGAATTTTATAAAAGATGTCCGAGACTGAAGAAAATTTAAATATTCAATTGATTCAAGAAATATTAAACGAAAATCCAAATAATGTAAAACAATTGTTGGAAGAGGGAGCTGATGTTTGGTATAAAGATGATAAAGTAATTAATTATATTTGTATCATCATCATCATCATTTATTTATTTACTTAGTTATTATTTATTAATAATGATATAGGGTAAAAGCCCTTTACATTTTGCATGTGACAATGGAAATAAAGAGATAGTTAGTTTATTAATTCAGCACGGCCATCCTTGGAATGTTATCGATAATGATAACGTAACTGCTGGTGAATATTCTAAGCGTAATGGCCATGAAGAAGTTTATAATATGTTGGTTGAAGAAGGATGTAGAGCTGAATTAATACTTGGTTGGTAACTATATATTATGTATTTTATGTATTTATGTTATTATAATAATCATTTATAATTCTTTTAGGAATGATTGATAGAAAGGAAAAAGTGAACAATTCATCAAACCCATCAAACATTGAATATTTATCAAAACCGCTTAGATATTCTGAGGATGGTAGCAAACTATTTGATCATGAAAACAATGGAGTGATGATGGGATGGGAGAAGCCATTGATGGTGAGACATGCTGAAATATTGTGTAGTAGTAGTCACAGTAGTGGTAGTAGCAAAGGTAAAGAAAACCTTAATATTCTTAATATAGGTTTTGGTCTTGGAATCATTGACACTGAAATTCAAAAATACAAACCTCTCCATCACACAATTGTTGAAGCACATCCTGATGTTTATAAATTTATGATTGAACAAGGCTGGGATAAGAAACCAGGGGTAAAAATTATATTTGGTAGATGGCAAGATGTATTGGATGAGCTGTTACTAACGCTGAGTGGAGATGGTGAAATGGGTTATGATGGGATATTTTTTGATACTTTTGGTGAATATTATGATGATTTGCATGATTTCCATGAGGAATTGCCAAACTTGCTTAAATCTGATGGTGTTTATTCATTTTTTAATGGATTAGGTGCCACCAATCCATTTTTTCATGATGTTTATTGTCGAATTGCAGAACTTCATCTTGCTGATGTTGGACTTTGCACCCAATTTGTTGAGATGGCTGTCAATTTATCAGATGTTGAAAGTAAAGAGATCTGGAAAGATGTAAAATCTAAATATTGGACTTTAAATACTTATCATTTACCAATTTGTAAATTCTTATAATGTGAAGAAAATTTTTCAGCCTTTATATTTAAGCAAAATTTTTGGTAGATAAAGTTGTATTTTTTGCATCTTTTATTTTTAATTATTTTTTTTTAAGAGTTGCAAAGGATGGAGGATTGATAATAAATAGTTATTGTAATGAGAGTAGAATTTTTTAGCAAAGAAATTTAATCAATTAACATTATTAATTATCCTATTATAAAGTTATCATGGTTGTAAAGGCGATGCCCCTAATATATGATGCTCACATGAGGACCCGACACCATCTATACAATAAAATTATATAATTAAAAATATACACACCATTTCATCAAATGTCAAAAACATAATTCAGTAATTAAAAGCAAAAGTACAGGTTTTCAAAGCAAGTTTTCATATCAGGCAGCATACAAGCATACACAGTCATTGAAACACTTTAGAGCTTTTCCTGCCTATATTTTGTAGATCCCAATCCATGTATTCAGCTTTGTAGAATCTATCACTACCACCAATACAATTAGGGGCTCTTCATATTCGTCTAGCATCTTCCCATAAATATCACGTATAATTTCTTCTCCGACTGTAACCATTTCTATCAGCATCTAATGAATATGGGTGTTGTTGTACTTTTGGCAAAATTTCATGATTTTTGATTCTTTTGATGTCAGTGTTTCCATATCACAATTGAAAACTTCCCAACACCTTGTTACAAGAAATCATCAGAACATATTTGTGGCGATTAATGCACATAAGACTATTGAAAACTTTGGAAAGGAAGAAGGTAATGAAAAAATTGCATAAAAAAAATATACAAAAAAATATTTCTATTCATTCCATTTTGTTTATTTATTTGGTATACTGCTTACGACTTTTTATTATACCTGATCCGTCACCTCCTGCCATATAGATGAAGTTAATTGGAATGATGTTGAATCAATTTATAGCTGGATAAAACCTTTGAAGCATTCTGATGAAATTTTTACACCCAAGGTATGGTTTGTTTTTTTATTTTGTTTCTGATTACACACTGATTTGTATATATACTTAATCAGTTAGTGGATTTCATATGGTGCCAAGTTTCCCTTGCAAGGTCGAGATGAAACAATGAGGACATTATTTGAAGGTTCTAGAAGTCCAAAGATTTAAAAACCTCAAGACAAAATACTGAAACAACCACCCTATCCCACATCTTGGCTAATGGACCAGGCACAGGAAAAAGTAGATTCCTCCAAGAACTTCCCAATTTACTCTATAACGAAACTGAATATTATACAGATGACAAAGAACTTTTAGATATGATCAAAAATCGAATGTACACCATCAATGTTACCTTTGGAAATAGCACTGTTGCATCACCAGAAGATGTGCCCACTGCTAAGGGATCGAATACTCTATGAACATTTTTATCTCTGGTGGGCCTTGTGAATATGAAGATTTTCAGGAGAAATGTAGCCATAAGATTAGCCATGCACCTGGGGTTGTTCTCAAGGGTGTTAATAGTGATAGGAATTTTGATAATTATATTAAATTTATTGTCCTCGCCATTGATGAGCTAAACCTTTTGCACAAGTGTGGTAAAGAGTCAGATCCCCAAGGAAATCCAGTTCGTCAAATTGTACATTCTGCTGGAAGTTTGGGTTGCAGTAGCGGAGATATATTCTATCTACCAATCTTATCTGGCACAATTCAGGGTCCTCTTGAAAAAGTGTTCAGAGAATCAACATATATTTATTTTCACTTACCATTTTGTCTTCTTCAAGATGAGGAGATGTGGAGTATTAGCAAAGTATTGCTGACTCCGAACTCTCACTATCAAACTATATCAATAATAACAAGACCTTTAATTGCTGCGTTAGTGACCTTGGTGGACAGGTCTGAGCTCTGGATCTTTTTTATAATGATTTATCAAATAAAGTCAAGCGTAAAACAAACAAAGTTGATTTTGCGCATTGTATAACAAATGTCAAGGAACTACTTTTAGATCTATATCCATTTCGGCAACTTGCAAACATTACAACACCAGCAATTGCATATTAGCAGGATGTTTTTGTTATTTGTAATCATGAGATGATTATAGCTATCTTTATCACCACCTATTGTGTAAAAAATTAGTCATATATACAATAATCTTCAAACGCAAATATTTATAATAATAAAAGAATAAATATTATTTCATTCTCTTACTGTTGATAATATGGAATTTCAGCAATATTTTTATAGGATAGTAGAAGAAAGTGATATCTACACTCCCTAATGGATTACCTTTTATCATTTAAAAGTTCTCAAGCTCTTTTGATATCAAACTTGAATTATATCAAGCAAATCGGAATGTAAAAAAAAAAAAGAAAAAAAAGAAGCTAGAAATACACATTGTGAATAAGTTAGATTATAAAATACATAATCAAATAATCTGGAAATTGGAAATGCTGTTAATAAATCATTTAAGACAATAGTTTAAGTTCAACAATATTATTTCCACAGAAAATTAATTGAAATTAATACTAACATTCACTTGCAAGCATTGTGGAAATTCAGATATAAACTCAAAAGAATGGAGAATTAAAGTCTGGGGTCTTTATTTAATAATAGTACTAGAAGCCTTTGTAATATTAATATTGAATTATTTTTTTTTGAGCCATTGTTTTCTATTAGATCTACCACGTGATTACCCTACATGAATTGACTCCTTTTTTAAAGCTGAATTGAATGATGGTGGTTTTTTAAAAATCCAACATGTGGATCACATAATTTTTCAAATTTTTAGCTTTTGAGCATAGATGATCCACACTGTACAGAGAATTACAGATTTTGGCACTTGATTGCAAATAGTATGACAACTCAGTTGATAGATACAACTTCTATAAATCTGATTTACAGATGGCATCATTAGTCATTACAATTTGTATCAATTCTGAATACCAAGTAACATCAAAATCATTTGAATATTGCTTCAATTCCTTCACTTTCTTTTCACAATATTGATCTTAATCATTATCTTTTTCTTCACTGATGCAGTAATGTATATATAATAAAAACATCAATACCTTTAAATAAAAAAGAATGAAATTCAAAATATTTCTTAATTGAATAAATTATTTTCCTAGCCATATAATTTTTACACAGTGAGGATAACAATGAACTGTTATAGAGTATGTTAGCAAGGAATTGTATTGTGTAGTGAAGTAATTGAAGTAATTGTGATATTTGAAATTGAATTAGAAAGGAAAGGAAATTGGATTGTGGAATGTAGAACTAAAATGGACCAGGAAAACTTTACTGTATGTGAACCAATTTTCTGAACACATTTGATAATGCAAATCAAAATAGCCGAGAACATACAAAATTTTACCTAGTAGATAATTTATTAATTAAAATACTTTTAAGAAAAAAATTGGTGTATTTAGATTGTTGGTGGAATGGTTTTTGGGAAAAAAGGCAATTTTTGCAATCATTTTGGCTTTTCAATATTCTTTATATGGATAAGCATAAACCATGCTACATATTTGATTTATTTTAGATTACAGTGTTTGTATGTAATTTCAGCTACTAATTTGCCATTTTAGTTTCAGTAATCATTTATTAAGAGAGATGACTTCCACTAACATCTATGATTAAATTCTCAATAACAGGGTATTGACAATGCAAATGGATCCTTGAGTCATCAGAACTTCATGATGGCAGAAAATGACGAGGAACAAAATTTAAGCAAGCAATATTGAAGACAAATTGGATTATACATGGATATGAGGTGTTAAATGTTTTTTGAAAGAAAGAAGAGAACTAATGGTAAGCCTTTTTATTTTTTGAGGTCTTTTTAAATGTGTTCTTTTATTTACATATAATGACGAGTTTAAAAATTATTATTAGCATTAGTTTCTAATTTCATTTCATAATGGTAATCAATCCAACATTATTCATTTCATTGGACTTTTATTTAAAATAATAAATTTTATATCTAATTGAATTAATCCCTTTATAAGGTCATATTCATAAGTGGGTGAAATTTAAGGTGATATTAGCTTAAAGTTATAAAATTTATTAATAGTTTTGCATATAACCTCTAATATTTAGCCTGATAAATAGAAACGGGTGATGTTGCCCAAAAGTCAATTTTGAGTTAATAACACTCCTATGTGTGTATAACAATAATGATTGGCCTTCTTGGAAAATTCTTCGAAGAAATACATTGCTTTTGCAGATCCCGAAAATATTTGTGTAACTGATGGCTTTTTTCATTTTTTATCGGTGCGGATCGGTCTCGCCTTTTTTTAAAAAAAAGCATTTTCTAACCATAGTGTTAGCGGTCACATTCAATAGAGTTTTCCCGATCCTAAAATTACTGAAAAGTCAAAATCACGTATTTATCTCGGACGCAATCTCACATTATCTATTTTTTTAATGAGATTCGATCACAGTTTTTAAAATTCAAAATATAACGTACATAATACATAATTCTTTATAAATAAATAGTGCATGTTATTTAATACACTACACCACATATCTATTTTTGTTTAATTCGATTTTTTTCCAAATTCATTCACATTAAATATAATAATTTAACATTCTCTTTCTTCCCTTTCATTAAAATCCCAAAAAATATTTACACATTCATTCATAAACACAATCATTCTCAACTAATCCGTTGATTAAATAATTCATTCTTTTTTTGCTTTTCTTTTCTCCTCTATTATAATATCGATCGAAAAAATTAAAATTATAATGGTAAAATTCGGCGACTTTGATAGAATTTGTCAGGAAATCGCACTTACTTTATGTCCTCTTGTTGGTTCTGAAGCAGGTATAGAGCCAACATGTTATTCAAGAAATATCGAAATAGCAGGAATGTTGATTTTTCAACCAGGTGAATATATAAATACATAACATCATAATATTACGAGCATAAAGTACAAATTACAAAATTATATTTCATTTTTTAGCTACAATTATTGTACATGCAATTGCTCTTGTCATGACGACCATTATGATTTATCATATAAAATCAAAATACACTGCAGTCGGTTGGTAATTTCTTGACATGTTTTTTTTACAATAAACACAACAATATTAGTAATATTAATTTACTTGATTAGGTCGTAAGGAAATGGTAATGTTCTTTTATTTGTATATGATGGTTACTTTTCTAGAATCATTGCTTACCTCTGGCATTATTCCTACCGCATCCGAAGCTTATTCTGTAAGTTACCTATATATATATCTTTGTTTTTTTTTTTTTGCAATTTTATTTTTTAATTAATAATTTTTTTTCTCCTAAAAAATACTTTTTTATTTTTAGTATTTCACTGCTGTGCATATTGGTCTTATCACAACAACATTTTGGTGTTTATTATTTAATGGCTTTATAGGATTTCAATTTATTGAAGATGGCACACCATTATCAATTTGGGTAGATATTTATTTTGTTTTTCTAATAACCAATCATCATATATATATCTTTGAATTTTAATTCTCGAATAAAAAAAAAAATTTTTTTTTCAAAAAGACAATTCGTCTTTCATCGTTATTTGTATTTGGAGCTGTCACCTTTTTAGCTGTCGCAACATTTTCATCAAAAGTAGGACTAAACCCATTACACCCTTTTATCTTATTGATAATATTATATGTATTTAATGGTGCAGCACTTGTGATCTATATCGTTCTTCAAATTCTACTAGTAATCAAAACTCTTGAAGATCGTTGGCCACTTGGTGATATTTTCTTTGGAGTGTCATTCTATGCAATTGGACAAACTACTCTTTACTTGTTCTCAGTTCGCATTTGCGATGTTGCTAAACATTATCTTGATGGATTATTTTTTGGAACAGCTTCTACATTGTTGGCTGTTATGATGGTTTACAAATATTGGGATTCCATCACAAAAGAGGATCTTGAATTTTCTGTTGGTAATAAGCTGCATGTTTGGGAAGTTAAAGAATTAATTGATGACGATGATGAAGTTTCCTATACAAAAACTGCCGGTCACTCGAATCTTCAACAACAACAACAACAGTAACAGCAACAGAAATATTATGAAGAAGGCTTTTAAAAATCAAAAGCATAGAATTTTTTATTTTTCAAAAAAAAAAAAAAAAAGATATTATAGATTACAAAAATTTCTAGACTACTTAATAACACATACATAATTTAATAATAATGGATAAATAAAAAAATTCTTTTTTAGTAATTAGTTTATTATTATATCGTTGCCCGAAAATGTGATCATGCAAAAAATTTGCCACTATCAGCACGTCAAATATGATGTTAATAGACAATTTTAAAGTGGACCTCTAATTAAACAACTTGAATTCGATCCACTTTTAGAATAACTTTCTTGAATAAAGACAAACAAACAAGTTTCAACTTGAGAACCAATCAAATCATACCCAAAACCATTCGCTAGTAAAACCCTATTCAGTTTGTACTATTGCTATGACAATAGATATGTCGATCGCGTGAAATCCTGTCTGACTGACATTACCTTTTAGACGGTTTTTTATAGGCAAATATGGTTTCTATAACAGATACTTCAAAATTAACTCTAAATTTTCACGTCATATCCCGAGATGGAGTTTCTATTTGAATAATTCGAATATCACTAATAAGACGACATTGAAGTTATTAAGGTTTATAAAACACATGTTTATGACATTCCAAAGATTGCTTTAACAATACTTTAGAAGATTGTATGAAATTCGAGAAAAAATAGTTCTTTGATAAATAAATTATTGAACAACTTGTTTCATACGAAGATTTTGACTAGTTGGAGTAGAGATAGGTTGATCGATCAGGTGGCTTTTTGATTAATTGAGTTGAGTCAGACGCAATAAAAAATTGAGATTTTGGGAATTGAGCCAAAGCCAGATTAATTTTGACAGCATGCATAGGATGGATGCATTTCTCTCCTTATACTTGTGATGATCATCCTTTAGGAAGAAGGATGGATTTAGATGATTTACCTTGTGGTCAAAGATAGTGTATCCTTTATCAATAGTTTTCCTGGAGACTACAAACAAGAAAATGTTAACAAAGGAGATGGTGATGTAGAAGTTATTGTTTCACCCGTAATTGGTTGAGTGGTCGCTGGCAATGATAAAGAACAAGCAAATATGTTCAGAAATTGATTTTCATAGTTATAAAAAACCAAGGTTTGTGTTAATGTGATCAGTTGCTTAAAGACCACTCGCTCTATTATATATGACATGACAAAGTTTCAACATTTTATTTGTGTTAACGAATTAAAAATAACACTATTGTGAAATTTGACCGCGTGTCGCAGCTCAAGACTGCGCGCGCACCATAACATTGTTAATATTTGAGCCAAGTATTCTATAATTTTGTTTACAAGAATAACATCAATTTAAATGATACTGTTTTCAGAGTAAAATGGATTTCTCCGTAAAGAATGTTGTTAATATTATGTCAATTTTTTAGTCATTTTCAATGCATTTAAATAATATTTCAGTTAGAAGTTCGAATGGTAAAGATAGTGTAAAATCAATATTAATGATTCGTATTAATGTTCCACGTGAACTGGGATTCTGCGCCACACTTTATATAAGTTGATATATTTATTAATCATTTTATTGTTTAATCTTAATCTTTTTCATTAACCCTATAATAAAAAAAATTTCAAAGATAACATAAAAATGATGGATGGATATAATGAATTGACCATAATGATAATGTATCTCTTTGCTCATGAATATCCTTATCATCATTATAGCCTCTATCATCATATCATCATCACCGTGTCATCATCACCATCAATGTCTTAATCTACCTATTTTTACTCAATAAATCAATAAATCATTCTCTTTTTGAATGTTTGGTAAAATAATAATTATAATGAATATAGTATTACTACTACTACTACTACTACTATTATATATATTTTGGTGAAAGAAGAATCCTTCAAGTAATATATGAGAAGACGAGAAAGTGAGGAAATAATTTAATCTAATCCATTTATTTAGTCCAACTGACCTTGTTGATATCGAAGTCAATAATTATGATGACGATAAAAATCCTCTACCACGTAATAATTTTTTCTCTCTAATCATTTCCAGCACATGCGACATACCCTTTCGACTCTTTTAATATTATTATGCAATAAACATTAACATTGATAATAATAGTAATAATAATGACAATAACACCACAATATCAGCGGTAGAAACATCACAAATTATATACATTTACCTTTGTAGTATTATCTGAAAATTTCTTAATTCCAAAACCTTCAACTCGCTCGGTCAATCCCCAACCAAAATTACTAATAACTCTAGCTTCAGTTGTGACTTGAGTGTGTTCAGGATTATTTGGATCAACTCGAAAAGTTTGCCGTTCTTCCACTTGCATAACTCTAGCGTGTGTTATGTTTTTTGTTAATGTGATCATTGTTTGAGTTTTTGGATTAATCATGGATTCTTCGAGAATATAAGCTTCAGAATTTTTAAAAAACTTTATATTGTTTATATATATGAATATATTTATTTATTCATTTATTCCATCATCCTTGTTATTGTAATCACTACTACTAAATTACTAACCCCTCTTCCCCATTTTGGTACAACTCCACGCTTCAAAATCAATCTTGTGGTTCTTAATATGCCTTTCTTTGGATCAACATATCTATCAATCACATCCACGCTTTCAACATGAGAAGCAAATGGATTTGGATACCGCATCCAAAATGCCAAGGTTACATTATCCCATGGATATCTACATGTGAAAAAATGGTTGTTGTTTGTTTGTTAATGTTTAATTGATAATAGCAGAATTAGAATTGTTGAAAGTTGAAATTATTAGGTTTGGAAATGAGTTTGGAATGGAAATGTAAATGGAAATTGCAGTTTAATATTTATTTTTTTAAAATTTGTCGGTAAAGAAAACCTTATCGAAATATAGCACTTTTATTTTTATTTAATAATCATAATAATCATAGCAAAAGAACTTACTCATATCTAAAAGTGTGTTGAAAGAATTTAACCATTATTTTATTACTAATTAAAGAAAGAAGAAAAAAGTAAAAAAGTAATTTTATAATTTGTAAATGAGTTTTTTTGTGCAATTAATTTTATTGATTTAGATTAGATTGATTAGGTTTAATGGATCGACATCCTTTTACAAAACGACGTGACCTCAAGTGATCAATGGTGATGGTGATCCACTACCAAAATAAATTTAATTTTTAATATAAATTTTTTCCATATAATTTGTATTAGTGAATGGAAATAATTCTCCAGTTTATTAAAACTTTCTAGTCGTTGATATCCCACATAATATCTATATCTGTAACAAATCTATTTTTTACCTGTAATAATTATTGTCATTATTTTTTGGTAAAAGTAAATTTATCTGCTGAAACCTTTGATGAATGCCACAATATTGAAGTCTTGAATTTGGTTGATTGTATGTATCTGAATTATTTGTTAAATTAAAAATATTCAGTCAATCCGAGATACTATGTATGAAACATAAGCCCGCTGGGGTACTCTTTGGTTGTATAGTGAAACATATAATTTGTCATAAAAAAATTTTGTTGTAAATTATTCGATAAATCAACTTTAATGCTTAAAAAATTTATTTTATAATACACACTTTTACATAAACAACTGAAATAAATCAGTCACAAACGAATAAAAGAAACTTCATAGAGGCCTTTGAGTTTTGTAAAATAAAAGAACCATTTTATTTACTTACAATTATTAGGTACAAGAAGTAAAAACCAAAGTAAATTCGTAAACTAATTAATTGACAAGCACTGAATTATTGCGAGTTGCTTGCTATTAACTGACAAGAATAGCCCAAAAGCTAAGCCGTGATCAAAGGCTACGTTGCAATATCACAACTTAACATGAATCGGGAACTGTAAAAAGTTTATTACTACAAAATTTAGAAATAACGAATAAAAAAATAAATAATTATAATGAATAAATTTACATTGGATATTAAAATTAATCACTCATCGATTCTTTCTTTTAATAATAAATAAAAATATTGTTAGTAATAATTAATGGATAGATAGTAATTAATAATGGAATTTTTATTTCATCTTTGTTAACATTTTAGAGAAGAGAGTTAAAATCAAGATTATTTAATGAACTGTCATTACTTTATAACTTTTAAAGCTTTTGATTTAGCAATCTCTTCATCTAATATTCTACTTTTATGATATGCATCTGGATGTGATTTGTGTGCTTATTGTGAATCACTATTGACACTCCTATTATTGTTATCAATATTATTGAGAATTTCTTCATGTTTATTATCAGGAAAAATAAAAAGCTCTCTAATAGTTGGTCTTTTTGATGGATCCACATCCCAACACCTCTGCATCATTTGTGTGTAATCAGGCATTCCTGGTAATATTGGTGCTTGTAAATCTTTTGCACATATATCAAAAATTAAACAATGATTGTGAGCTGGTGGGTGACCTGCAAATATTAACATCACAACACTATAGATATCAGATTCTTTTTACCTCTGAGTAGTTCAGGTGGAACATATGATACAATTCCATAGACTTTATCTGATTATTTTTCATCAACTGGACCACATAATCCCAAGTATATTACCACTATGTAAAACACAATGAATTAAATCCTTTTCATGTATATGGGGCATGCTGCAACAAAACCAGACTAAGTGAACATTGGTATTATCAGAATTTCAGAGATCAAAATTTAGTAATGTGATTGTTAAAATCTCCTATTTGCTATCTTCTTAATATTAAGTGATATAGAGCTACACCTATATAAAAATAGTTAATATGAAACTCATTTATATCAGATCTACTATGGAATCCAAGAATTATACCACCATTAGAAGTATTTTGAAGAAGGAACAAGGTAAAAAAATTGCTCCTTACATTTTCAAAATAAATGATACTCAAATGCTTGAAGCTTATCTAAGAAAAGAAAGGATTACCCATGAAATTTACCAAGGAGATAGAAAAATAATAAATGTTGGGAAAAGAAAATAACTACCATTTTCTTTGATAGTTGGAATGAATTTCAATTTATACAGAAACTACTTTCTCATTTTCAATCAAGATCATCTTTTAGTCTCTTTAACTTCAATTTGAGCAATTTGACCATTCTGTTGTTGCAATTGGGTTAATTGAACTTTTAAATCATTGATTTCCTTTTCTTTAGCACTTAATTTATCAACTAGTTCTTTGGGGGTTAATTTTTTTAATCTTACTAGTTCAGTCTCCAATTCTTTTATTCTATCCAAAAGTTCTTGCTTTTGCCTTTTACTCCATCCTTCAGATTTTTCTTGGAACTTGATTACTTCTTCCCTCTCAATTTCCAATGCTTCTTCAGTAGTGGTTAACTCTTCACGCAAAGAATTTATTTGTCTCTCATAAAAAGCAGACTGACTTATTTCTTCATCAGGTAAGAGGGAAAGTTCCTTCTCTTCCAAGTCTTCATTGTTTCTAACACAGTAGCAACCTTTCTTACCAGTAACAATATCAAAATCTAACTTAGTTTGTAATCTACCACATCTATTACATTTTAATAATTCATCATTTCAATATTTTTCTTCACACTTTTCACAAACTACATCATCTGAAATTCACTCCCCAGTTATTTTACTATGGACTCTTATTTGATGAATAGATTCATTATCTCTGTTTTCAAGTTTGGAGCAAAAATTGCAAGTTTTTTTACTTTCTTTCTCCAATTCCAAAACTGTGTATTCCAGTTCTCTCATTGCAATCTACCTGTTACTTAGACTTTACCTCTACTTGAGCAATCATTTCTTGGTTGTGAAAAATATCCCTTTTGATTAGCTTTTGTATCTTAACTTTTGCTTTTGTTTTTAACTGCCTAAACATACTCTGTTTAACTGAAGCCTTGTTTTCCTCTTCTATAGGTAAAGCAGGTAAAGGTTTACTGTTTAAATAGTGTAAACTCTTTAAACTTTCATTTTGTGATTCATTATCAGATAATTGCTTGCTTAGTTTTTCTATTTTTTTACTCTTTTGACTTGACTCTTCCTCTAACTTTTCAACTCGGGCTTCTATATAAGGAATCTTTTCACTAGCACTTTTGAGTTTTTATAACATTATTAACTGCATTTATAATTCTTAATTTAAAATTGTCTTCTTTATTTGATAATTGCTTCTTTAAATTTTCATTTTCTTCTAATAGTTTTTTATTTACTTTTTTTTGTGCTTCTATGATGTTTGTCATGACTTTACTTTTTTTTATTCTTTTAATATACCTATATCCTTTTTATAAGGGCATATTAAGTATATAAATTATTTTAGTACTATTAAACTTATTAAACTTAATGACAGTAAGGGACAAATTAATGGGTGAAATGATTTTATTCTAAATATTTTATTTGTTGCCAGTATAGAATGGTCTTGGACAAGTAGTATCTTTGTATTCATCTTTCACAGATGGATGAATATTATTATAAAGGTATTCTTGTCTTTTGTAATCAATCCAAAGGAGGCGGTGTTAACACTAAAATAGATAAAGTTCTAATTTCTTCAAAAATATCTGCTTCTTTGGTTTTCAATAAACTGAATTCAATAAAAGGTCCATTAACAACTTCTTGAACTTTCACTGTACCAAGATTAGATGCTTTAAAAAGAAAATGTTGAAATTTCTTATACTTGGTAATTTCTTAAAATAAATTCCCAATATAGATTTGATATCCAAATATTGAAAACCTTTTCCACCTTCATAACATTGTGCTTTATTTAATCCAGCTGGTCTAGACTTTTTTACCACCTCAACCACATGATCTAGACAATCTGCTCTTGTTTTTCTGTAGAGTTTTTTAATCAGGCCAAAACTACCATCACATTTGAATTTGGTATGTCCAGGAATCATGAAATTTAATTCAATACTTTCATAATAACCACAAATTACTAAATATAAATAGAACCAAATTGTTACATTATTTTTATTCTGTCCACCAGCATTATCACAAGTAACTTTTAAATGCTTTCACCTTTATTCAATTTCTTAATTCCATCAAAAATCATACTAAGAGTTCCATTGGGTCCTTTTCCTATAACTTCATCTTCATTAAGAACATAATTAATTTGCTCCCTTACTGCTTCATCTTGAATACCAAATAAATGAACTTTGCACAGACTAAGGTAATAGATTTTACTTACTTGTTGATCTAAGTGTGGTACATGAACATTTTGGGCTCAATCATAACTATAATGAGCAGTAGCATCAATACTACAATATTGTGTTTTACTCTTTGAATAATTCTGATTAACTAATTTTCTTTGCTCTTCTGCTAATTTAGTGTTTTTATTATAATAATTTCTTTCTAATTTGGCTTTAGACAGATGTTCTTTAAATCTTTTGAGCAAATCTTTAGCTTCTTCCTCTTGGCAAGCATTGTAATGTAAACCATTTCTAAAATGTTGACAAGTATCACACAAATCAGTCCTGGAACTCATAATTTGAATTTCTGGTGTCAATTGATGTCATTATTTTCTGAAAGCATCATACTTCAATGATTTCAATCTGTTATTTTCCTCTAGACCAGCTAGAAAATCTCTGTGGACTGATTTATAACTCATTTCAGCTGGTAAGAATACAATTGTTTGGGTTATTCTATTGTTACTTCTTCCTGGACTTGGTAATCCATGGACTTCTGCATAATTTTCTAGAAAATTCTTTACTACCTCTGCAACACTTTTGTCAATCACCATCTTAGCTTTCCATTGAGGCATTCTTTTAATATTACCATGAACTCTTGGTAAAAGGCCATTGCCTATTAGGTGATTTCTGATATTTTCAAAATAAGACCTACCAATTCCTAACATATTGAGATAAGTTTCTTGACAAAGAAGTGTATTGTGATCCCAGTGGTAGAAAGTTCTTTATTAGATCTAGTTTTCTTTTTAAGGCGTCTACTACTGCTTGTTAATCCACCATCCATTGCCCTAAGTTGGGCCATTAAAAATATGTCTTGTTCAGACTTAGAAAGTTCTTGAAAGGATTCCCTTAATTCTGCAAATTGTTCCTTAGGAATTCTTGAAGAACAATTACAACCACAACCTTTTTCTAAAAAATCAATTGCTTTTTGATATTCATTAGAACCATTAAAATTAACATAGCGGGTATTCGATTTTACGAAATGATCAGCATTAGTTTCACAACATATAAATCATATACAAATGACCTGT